TTCCCGGAACACTATACTAACCTTTGAGTTTCGACGCTGGCAAAGCCCAAGGGTGCGGTCGCAAAACAAGGATTTCATGAACCCGCAAGCCGAAACCTCAAACCCAAGGTTCAGGGCTGATGTGACAAGCTGCGTGGAACAGCACCGCATGGTGCCGCTCCGGCACCAGCGACCCCGCCTTGTGGGCGGAAGTGAGGATACCGGTCAACGATGTAGAACGCTTAAACATCGCTTACAGAGCCCTACCCGTTTGCAGTCGGGTTAGAATTCTCGTAGACGCTTGTTACACACGTATGTATACAAATTACATTGTAAATGTATATACATACATACATATCCATGCACACATGTAAATATTTTACACACACATATATGGAATCGGTACACATTGACGTGGTTGTAGCAGCCACAGCCGTGAACTCTCCCCCAGTAACTTGGCAAGATCTGTAGCGCATGTGAAACATTGTATGTGTCCGATCTGGCGAGTACGAGACAGAGCAGCAAGAGCACCATCGGCAGTGCGAGCGCCAACCGGCAAATCACTCCCTAAACCCTACACCCTAAAACCCTAAAACCCTAGACCCTATTAGGCCCTATAATGAACCTTAAACCCTAAACCCTGAACTGTGAACCTTATAAACCTCAAACCCTACAACTACACGCTCTTAGCAGGCCTGCAAAGGTGGCGGCGGCGGCGGCGGGCGCGCCTGCAGCGAGGTGCATGTCAAAGCTGAGGGTTTGGGGTACCTTTTTGGGGGTCCTTGTAATAAGGGTCCTACTATTTCGAGTACTATATTAGGGTTTCAGGGTTTGGGGTTTTGGTTGATGGTTTGGGGGTTTAGGATTTTTTGTGTAGGGTTCACTCCGACTTTGTGCCGGCGTTGAGGGATTCATGGAGCTTGTGTCTGTTCTCCTTTGGGCTTCCCTTATATATCAAACCCAGACTTCACTCGAAGTAGAGGTTGTTTCGATGCTCAAAACAACATAAGGTTTAGGGTTTAGGGGTTCAAGCTTTAGAGGTTTAGAGGCTTAGGGTTGGGGCTATGCGGTCGTTTTCGACCAGACCAGGAGCCTTTCCGCCTATCTTCAAGGCGACACGTCTACGAATCATTTAGACGGCCATATTACACCCCAGAAGCCCTCATGGAACGCTCACCCTTGTAGAAGCCTTCTACTCTGCTTACAAATCCCTACACTTCTGAGATCCGGGCCTGGTGCTTGGCCTTTGCTTTTGCGAAACGCCGCTGTGCCAGGCGATTCGCCTGGTCGGTGTGAGCAATGAGTCCGTGGAAGCAAATATCTCCAGAAGTAACGAAGCGCGGCAGCACCGTCACTTGCGCACAGCGCTTTGCGTCACTTGCGCACAACTGTTCCGCGAACACTGGTACAAAACCATTCAAGTAGCCCTACAGATGGAAGGCCCCGTCAGCATTCCACGAGACTTCCCAATTCGAGGACCTGGGATCTGTGGCGCCGCCTCGCTTTCCCCCTGGTTACAAGACGATTTACTATCAGCCGGGGACAGGGTTCTGTCAAACCATAGAACCATGTTATGTTGTCCACGCGTATGCAACCTGAAATCTGCATGGAGCTGGGACCGCCACGGCGATGATCAGCCGCTCTGTTACCGGAGGCAAAAATCAAAAACCGTTCGATGTAACGGGATCCCCGCCGTTGCGGCTCGCCGGAGTCCCATGATTCCTTAGGGCCTCCGGGCCCCTTTCAGCAAGGCAGAATGCCTATTTTAATTACGTTTGGACTGTGTTTCTTCGTAAACTGACCATCAAAATTCACGTCATCTTCGCCACGCTCGTCCTCGCGATCACCATAAGGATTACCAGCATCATCATCACCATCATCATCGTCGTCGTCATCGTAGTCACTAACACCAGCGCCAGGGTTAGTTATCATCACCATGATCATCGTCGTCGTTGTCGTCGCCCTCACGGCGTTTAGACATTGTCGAATGTGTGACTTTTTGGTTAACATGACAGGCGATGCGACTAGCTGGAAAGGCTGAGATGTTCAGCTTCCACGATCAAGCTGTCCAAAGTTCCTCAATATCTGACTTCCTCGCTTGCAGAACCCATGTGGAACCCTCGCGGAACCCTCATTTGCCCTCCCTTCCCATTGGACATGGTTGGACTCCACGTGCCAATAGTAAAAGCCATCCTGGCTTCGGCGATTGGCCGACAGTTCGTCAATCCCTTTCCTATGATTTCGGAGCGCGGACTCAGAACTACAATCCTGAACTGGCCTTCACCGCTCCTTGGCGATGGAAGCTGCGACGGAGCGGTTGGCCTGAAAGTCGGCCATCCACCGGTTGGATATCCCATACACCGAAGATGCGGAGCTTTCATACCATCTCGGCCCAACAAACAATACATGTAAGTGCCATGTTCCGAACCTTGAGTGCGGTCGTAGCCCTGCCACTAATGTTGCGAGGACTTCGCCAACCCCCAGGCGACGAGCGACAAGGCCCTTGCGGTGTACTACCTGCATTTCGTAAACTACACCAGTCCCAGAGTGTACCAATGATGGCATTCCTGAATCACTCCACCGAGTCTGGCTGAAATCTAGCCTGTTTCTTGGATGAGTGTCACTGATTCGCAAAGAAATCCAAACGCATGCAGCAAATGTCAGCTTGGGAGAGACGCTGTTGCCGATTGCAGACACTGCAAGCTGAGATACTGTTCTCTCTTTCTCTCTCTATGCTACTCTTACCTTTTTAAGGACTTTTATAAGCAAACCTACTCTGGCAGGTTCAAAAGGGTGCCGGACTCAGAACTACAATCCTGAACTGGCCTTTAGCGCTCCTTGCGGATGGAGTCGGCAACATGGCGAGTGGCCTGAAAGTCGGCCATCCACCGGTTGGATATCCCATACACCGAAGATGCGGAGCTTTCATACCATTTCGGCCCAAAAAACAATATATATATATATATATGTTCCGAACCTTGAGTGCGGTCGTAGCCCTGCCATTAATGTTGCGAGGACTTCGCCAACGCCCATAGAAAGATGCTGAAGACTTTGTTCCGCAGAGTTCCACCAGGCCCTGATTCTCATGGCTAAGTCTGAGACCCACACTCAACTTCAACCCGAGTTTCGGCTGCAACGGCATGTCGCGAAACCGGTTTGATAATTGTCGGTTTGATAATTGTGAAAAAGCCCGCCCATGACGAACTGTGAAAACCTTGTACAGCCTACCTAGAGTAAGGTTGCGCTACTAAGTTCCGCCCCGAAATACGTTCAGAAAGTGAGGGTGGGGGGCGCGAGGTATTCTAATTTCGTTTTTCCTCATACGGTGGCTTCGTGTTTAAGATTCATGGTGAAGGTCTGCCGGGCCTACGGTTTACTGGCTGTCCCGGAACACTATATTAACCTTTGGGTTTCGATGCCGGTAAGCCCCGAGGATGTGGTTGCAAAACAGGGAACTCCTGAACTCGGAAGCCGAAACCTCAAACCCAAGGAAAAGGCTGATGTGACAAGCTGCGTGGAGAAGCACTGGGTGGTGCCGCTCCGGCGCCACCGATTCCGCCTTGTAGGCGGAAGTGAAGATTCGAAACTCGTCACAAGGCGTTTGAGTGTTGAGCTCAGAGGCACAAGTCCTCAACTTGCCTGTCTTCCATACAACCTTCATTGAGAGTTCGGGTGCTTGATTTTCGGGTCTCGGCTCCTTGCAGCTTCAAGATTTCAGCGTTGTACTCTTCAAGCTTGAAGGCTGTTCCGCAGGCTCGGAAGTAGGATCGGCTCTCCAGGTTTTGGGATTCGAGATGCGTTGAGTGTGTCGGAGGCCTTTACGAGCATATCAGGGCTCCGCGCCTCAATGCCAGAATGAGCAGGACTCGGTTTAGACCCTAGAGTCCCTAGATTCGAAACTGCTGTCTCATTCGGAGTTCGACTGCTTTTGGGATTTGGTTTTGTGCTGGACGTGGGGCTTCTGGTAACCTTGAAGATAAATCGACACCTCACACCACACACACTGCAGCCCCAAATCCTTCCAGCCCAGAGCATCGTTCGGCTGTTTCGATGCGCAACGTGTCAACGAGATTCCGAAGCCTTACTTTGCTTGCCGGTTCAGCTTGCGGGTGAAACATCATTGAAGCAACTTTGGCGCCCACAGCCTGCCGGGAGTGTTGCCACACGAAGCGTTTGCTCAGGGTTGCAGTTTTGGAACAACTCACGCTTAGGTTTCCACCATGTGTTTTTAGATTGAGAGTCTATAGCACAGACCTTCGCGAAATAGCGCTCCCTATATAAGGATGGCATGCAATCTTCTCAAGAGGCAAAGCCTGCACCAACACACTGCATTCCACCATGAGCTCCTGCCTGGACCCTAGAACCGAAGTCCCCAAGCACCCAAAGTCCTAAGTGCGACATCCTGCAACTAAATCCCACTGTGAGGAGGAACCCTTGCCGCAAAGACGCAAACTGGGTTGCTGCCAAAGAAGTTAAACAAGTCATGAAGGAAACCACACCACCTACTCTGTGGCCATGTGACGGCAATTTGTTCGGCATGCCTTAACGGCCACCCAGCTTAAAGCCAAACAATGCGAAGTCGCGAATGTCCGATGTTCCAGAATGAATATTTCCAGGGTGAGGTGCCCTGAGCTCTGAACCCGCAGCCTGAAATTTCACTCCGCCCGAGGTGTGCTAAGTTCTGTCTTTCACAGTAACAAAACCAGTTTTATCACTTTCGGTGTTGGGGGTTCTATCCTACATGGATTCGAGATGTGTGAGCAATAACTAACCAACCACATCGCTAACTACTCCGGGACTCGGGCGTCCGGTTGAAGGATCAACACGCTCGCATGTGTTGCTATCAGTTGCTCACAGAGTCCGGTTTCAAGACCCGCACGAAACTGTAAACCCAAGACTTCGAAGCCTGAACCCAACAGACGACAGCCTACACACCATTAGCCTTTTGTCCTGAAGCCGAAAGCCCTAGGCCTAGACCCTGTACCCTAAAAGCCCAAAGCCCGTCCTCTTCTTAAGGAGGGTCATCGCAGCTGGGTCGACGCTGTTGCGCGACCGGGCGGAGGCCGATTCAAACTTGCCTCCAGACGTCTTTCATGGTCCGGAAGCTCGGGGCTTCTGGATTTCAGCATTTCTTGAATGCTCAAGCTGCCAAGGCTTAAGGGTCTGCGCGTTTGAGAATTCGGGGCTTAGGGCTTGAGGATTGCATGAGTTTTTGGTGCTCTTCACATGTGAGCTTCGCTACCCACAACAAACACAACTGGGCTCTCACTTGGACGCAGAACCTTCTAATAGTGCCTTCCCGGGCACGCCGTGCGAAACGCAGAAACCTTGACGGCTCAAGAATAAATTGTCCGTCATGCTGGAACATTCATGGGCATCGTAAGCTGTAGCAGTTGTCGCCGGAGCGCACATGTGTAAACGGGACGTTCGCGCCTCGCGCTGGGCACGTGTCACTAGGATCAAAGTTCGAGAGAACAAGCGCATGTGAGCTCGAAACTCGTTAAACGCCGCAGATTTTCCCGATTACACTAAAATGCGGCTACCCAGCTTTTACGTCCAGAACCACCTTCCATTAGGATGTCTCAACACTGGGCCCTTCAAAAGCCTCCGCCTTCCAGTGTTGTTGAGAGGTTCAGTGCTTCCTGGCCCTAAACTGGCCACCGACCAACACAAGTGTTTCGAAAAAGCACCTCCTACTTCTACCAAACCCGCAAAACACCCAATCCCAAGGCACAGCAGAGAACTAACTACTTTCAGCCCCGTCGGGCCCAGAATAGAGAACCGCTCAGCAACCCTTTGAAACCCTGTACATGAAACTCACCGACGACATGCAAGCAGCACTTTATAACCACTGCAAAAGGACTCGACGCTCCCGATATCTACAGTGAATCCTGAATACTGGTCTTTCAACACCCAAACAGAAACTGGCACACGGAGCGATCAGCACGTGAGGCGAAAGCACAGAAGAAGGCCTGGGCTCGGTTGTACAAGTCGTCCAGGTCGGGGTCCAGGTGCTTCACCTTTATTTGAAAAAAACTTCAATGACGTCTCCGCGCTTCCTCTCTGTTGGAGGCTGTTTCGGGCTTCGTCCTTGCCGGAGTGACCTGTGTCGCGATTGATGAATGTGTGGCACTAGCAGACCGCAACAGAATTCAGACTTGTCGTGCGGAAGGTTGTGAGTCAAAGTTGTCTCCTTCGTAGTCCAAGTCGCGATCTCCACATCACATAAATCTCCGTGTGCTCGGTCTGGGGCTTCGAAAACCGCGTCCGGGAGTAGTAACGGTAACAATAATAAGTGGTAATAGTCATAATAGTAATAATGGTAATAATAGTAATCATAGTAATAATAGTAATAATGGTAATAATAGTAATAATAGTAATAATTGTAATAATGGTAATAGTAATGGTAATAATGGTAATAATAGTACTCATAGTAGTAATGACTGCGTCGGCTCCAGAGGCCGGTCCTGGGGGCCCTGGACCCCACATGGAGATCCGGAGAGGAAGTCCACGCGATGCGCGCGAATTTTTCGCGTCAACGCAAACGAACCTTTGGATGATGAGAGGTTCTCGTCTCTCTGTAGGTGCACTTCTGGTTTTTGGTGGACCCTGCCACACCATTTCCAGGCTTAAAACAGAAGTCTGGGGTTCTGGCTGGCTCGACGTACTGCAGCACCGTGCCCAGCAGCTCGGATCTGTCTGCACCTATGGATCGGGCTTCGGGGCTAACAACGACTTAAAGCCTTCGTTGGTCTGGGGTATTTGTGATTTACTTCTTTCAAGGGGTCCGAAGAGGTTGGGGGTGAGCTAACGGTGTAGGCTTTCAGGAAGTTCTCGAGGCCCAGCGCGTCCTGCAGCGCATCTTTCCGAAGCTAACGGCTCCTGTTACTCTGTAGGCTTTGGAACGGTGATTGGCCTCTAAAGTCCCGAAGCGAAGCATTCAAACGCTAAAGCCGAATCCCAAACCCCTCATCCGCAAAATGAACCGCAAGCCGCAAAGAAAGGCCCCGAACTGAAGCCTACACTCTACTAAGCGAGAACCGTAAAACCCGACCCTGAAAACATCTCTAAAACTCCGAGTTCGGCACTCGGATCCCGAAGGAGTGTTCTGGCGACATGCCCTGCCTGAGCCGCAAAAGTTCAAACTGCGGTTAGTAGGGAATGGAGGAATTCTTCCATTCCCTACTAACCATAGGTAAGCAGAGTTCAAACTGCAGTGGAGGGACGTAGGTGGTGGTTTTTGGTCCATAGGTTTTTGGGTTCTGGGCAGCATTTAAGGGTTCAGGTTGTGGTCCAAGTCCGGGGCTTGGCGTGGTCAGGAGCTGGGTCTGAGGATTTAAATTTCAGAGTTGAGACTTAGTTTAGGGTTGGAAACTCATAGGATCTAAGAAAACCTTAGGCTTGGGATTCGGATTTCGGATGGTAAGAACGGGAAGAGTTGGCTTTTTCAGTTAACAATGGGTAAACCACAGCGCAAGACTCTGACTGTGACACATTCGGGCATAGGCAGCTGGGATCAAGAACTGCAAGTGTCATCTTACCCCTTAGCAGCAGAGTTTGACTGTGTCGAAGTTCCCAAAACCCCTGAGTTTGAGGCGGAAACATGACATGATCTAAAGCTTGCCGCTAGAGCGGTTCTGGAAGGCCTACATCCGTTGCTAAGCTTCGCGGAATACCATCCTACTCGCACGAACACTACTTATCACCTGAACATCCTATTCACGGACGATCACGCGCGCTTCCACTCACGAAGTTGTAGGCTATGCATCGCACCATGGTAGAAAATGGAGATTGGGATGTTTGCAGGAGCAGCAGCAGTAGCAGTGGTGGAGCAGTGACAAAAGCAGTAGAGGTGGTGGTGTTAGTAGTAGTAGTAGTAGTAGTAGTAGTAGTAGTAGTAGTAGAAGTAGAAGTAGAAGTAGTGACAGTAGTGGCAGTAGTGGCAGTAGTAGCAAGAGTAGTAGTAGTAGTAGTAGTAGTAGTAGTAGTAGTAGTAGTAGTAGTAGTAGTAGTAGTAGTAGTAGTAGTAGTAGTAGTAGTAGTGGTGGTGGTGGTCATGGTAGTGGCGGCATCAATACCAGTGGTCGTTTAAGCAGCTTCCTGGCATAGTTAGTTGGCTCGTTTGTCTCTGTGTGTATTTTTCGTACTTCGCCGCTCGCAATGTGTTGCTCTTGACTTCAGGCGGTCTTGTGTTTGACGGTCCTGCGGATTCGTGCCGGTGCAGAAGCGAAACGGCTGAACATCTTCTACATCCATATAGTTGTCCTTGCCCACAGCTACCTATCCAAGAAGTCCTAGCTATTGCCCACAACGGTTGAGACCTCAGAGACTCGGTTTCGAACAGCACGTGTGCGGACTGCAAATCCACAGGCGCAGCACCCCGCAACCCCAAGTGTAGTTACCGGTGGTGATCTGAGAATGCGACCGCACCAAGTAGGCTCTGTGCTGCCGCATCGACCTTGAATGGCTTAGGCTTGGGGTGTAAGGTTTCAGAGTGTACTTGGAGGTTCATGGGTAGTTATAATTGGGATATATGTCCCCTAAGAGGGGTTATAACCATAGTTACCCAATTATAACCCACATATAACTAGCCATGATCCTCCAAGCATGTTTTAATGGCTTCGGCCTTGGGCACCTACCTCGGGTTTCGGGGTATAGGTATAGGGGTTGGTCCTCGCGCTTAAAACTGTTGAACGCCCTTTCGTCGGTGTTTGCGACGAGTCTCTCGCTGCATTGGTTTGGCTTCAGGGCCTATTGCTCCTCTCGAGGATTTGGTGTGGTGTTGCGTTTGCCGTGTAGGCTTTACAAGCAGACATAATTCTGCAATTGTTTGCTGTTTTGTGATTTTTTCGCCGAGGCTTCGGCATCTCGGGGGAAGGGAATCGCAGGAATTGAGCGCAATCTGAAAGCTTGAGGCTTTCCATCCGAGGGGTTCGGGCTTTGCGTTAACTGTGATCAACCAGGATCTGCTCAGGGCTCCCAAAAATCACCATGCATGAAGCTTTGAAGTCCTAAACCAAAAATACCACTCGCCTAAGCCCAAGGCCCGTGTCCTACCTGCAGAACCGGAAAGAGTTCCCCCCCCACATCCTGGGGTCCTGCCTAGATCAAGAGGGAGCCCTGGAAGAACACCGAAATCAACACATTTTTTTGGGGAAGTCCTGCTGCGCTTTGGTACCTGCAGCGTCACAGCGTGGCAGGAGCTGCAGCCTGAAAGGATAAAGCAGCCCCGAGTCTTCCGTTGCTTTGAGCTTTTGAGTTGAAGGTTCGGAGGCTTGGAGCATTCTCTTTATCCGTTCAGGCTGCTAGGCTCTGAAGCTGCGTTTTTTTGCTTTTTCGGTGCTGAGACACAGTGTTCAGTTTATAAGAACCCCGCCTCAACGTCCGGAACACTCCATGACAGTCGTCAGAGACGAGACTCAACATGGTCGAAGATATGACCACAGCTGCTAAGCTGAGGCAGGTTGTGCTTAACTTCCTGTATACTTCGCCGCCTAACAGTTTCAGGCCTGGAGGGCTTTGCTGGGCATTTTCTGTTTCAGGACTTGGCAAGACGTGTCCTCTTTGATCGCAGAGGTTGGGTACCATGCGTGTCCCAGCATGGGTTCAACCCCTGGCCAACAGAATCTGAAAGTCTGGGTGCTCCCGATGCAGCATTCATGCTGCAATCTAGCCGTGGGGCTTGGGGTAACGCCTTCATGTCATGAAGTGGTTGGAGCTCGAGATGGCAGGACTTCAGGCGTCAGGGTCTGGGGTCTATCGCAAGTGGATGAAGCTTCGAACCGAAAACGCTTACGTCTCCGAAGACCTCTGACTGCGACTCAGCAAAGTCCCAAAGCAGCTAAGAGGGTTCAAAACCTGATTCTATGTCAACAGGACCAGGACCGACTCGTCAAGAGACTGCTTGCCGAAACAGTGTCGCAAAGGTCTGGAACACCGAAAACCTTGACTCCACTGCTCACTGGGCTCGCATACCCCTCTCGGGCTTCAGCTTCCGCTGCCGTTCGACCTATGGGAAAGGTTCAGGGCAAAACGAGTTCAGGAGGGATTCATTGGTTCCAAAACAAGGAGAAACGAAGTTCTCTGAGAGGCTGAACTCCAACACGGAGCCTAAAACCTGAGACGGGTCCTTCGAGGACCTGGCGAGCGACTGTTGATCCCAAACATCGCTCTGCGGCACGTAGCATAAACTTGTGCGCATCGTCAGAAGTACGCTAATCAACCTGGGAGTATTTGTATGAAAGCCCTCAAACTGATTCCCCGGGCACTTCTGGTGTTGCCCCGGACTCCCGGAGGCCTTGAAGCTCTTAGTCTCCCACAGCTACCCAGCCCAAGTCTCGAATGGATCTGTCACCTCAAAAATCTAGATCCCAAGAAGCCATGAAACACAAATGCCACTGCCTCTGTCTTACCAGGCCTCAGCACGCAGCGATTGAATCTTCACGGCCAAGTTGTCCAACACCTGGCACTGAGCTTCTGTGCAGTCTGGGCTTGGGTTTTCATCTGTCGTCGTGTGCGGAGGGGGGGTGGGGCGAGGGATTTTTGTTCTAGCTTGGGACTTTGGGGTTTAGCGACTGCAGGATCTTCGGGCCATGAAGTCTGAGCACTCCTCCGGGACCTCTGTGACCATGAGGGAAACAGGTGGCAGCTTGCGGAACCGAAGGGACAGACGCAAGCCCCAATTCGAGCAGGCACTCATACCGATTCTTGGATGAATGCAAACATCCTACTTGGAGGTTCGTGGGTAGTTATAAGTGGGGTTATAATTAGGGTAACTATGGTTATAGCCCCTATTATGGGACTTGTAACCCGATGAATAACTACCCATGAACCTCCAAGTAGGGTGTCGGGCTCCGGATGACTGCAGGCAGAGCAAATGCAAACAACGCGAAGTAGAGACGTGAGTCTTAATGCTCACCCTGCGGCTTCGAGAAGGCCCCATGTCAAGATATAGAGCCGCCAACTTTAAACCTTGAAGGCTGTGGTTGGGTGCTGGATGCTCGGAATCTAAGCTGGAGGCTGTCTCATGGCTTGACCGTTCTTAGAGGCAACTTGTCGATGCAATTGTGCGTTGATTAGAGGGTTACCCCTTTGCAGGATGTCAGCTGGGGCCCCTTACAAGAAGCTTCGAATGCTTGTATGCTTCCTGAACGTGACATTTGCCGTCGGGCCTGCTTGCCGTGCTCACTCTCCCGCTGCAGCTCCTGCCGGGGGTGACGCAACGTGGAGCTCGAAACATCCTCTCGGGTTCCTGGTTCAACATGGCATCTGACTCTACCAAACGACTGCTGCAACGCACAGCCTCCAGCTCCTTTTGAAGAGCTAAGCGGCGTGCTCGGTCAGCCTCCATAAGGCGCCATATTTACGGGTTTTTTACTGCTGAAGCATGATTGGAGCTGAATTTCTGATTCCGACGGGGGTTGTTCTGCATGTTCTGGTTCAGGCACTTTGACCTGAAGTTTTTCATATCGCGCGATAAGCTCGGACATGTAACGATACTCCTTAACTAAGGGATATTAGAATCCCCTAAACCCTATAGATCCCTTTAAGGAACCCTAAGGTATATTCGCTATGTCAAGGTCCAGGGCCGAGAACTTCGAGGACGTGGGTTTCGCTCGACAATGCGACTTCTTCGCAGGTTTAGGGGTTTAGGGCAGGAGGGGAACTTCTTTCCAGTATACCTGCTTTCATACCTGAAACTTTGCCCACTACGGTTTCCGAGGACACCCAAAAATCTTAAAGTCTCAGGTGCTCTTCGGGTGCGAGAAAGCAGCCTTCGGTTGTACTGGAGTTGCAACCGATGTTGGCAAACTGGAAACATGCCCTCACAATGAACCAAGCTACTTTTCTTAATCTAGCTCTCTCTCTCTCTCTCCCCTTGTGTCTGATGACTACAGATGTGTAGCAGGGACATGTAGCGAAACTTGTTGCCATTATGACCATCATCGACGTGTGTTCTATCTAGTCACCGTCGTGAGTTTGGCCACGCTATTTGTGGAACCCAAACGGCATCTACTATGATTATCTGGAGGTGTGCAGGCTGCACCACAAGGCCCGGGCTTTTTTGTGTGGGGCCCTAAAGATCTCTGTGGCTTCGATGCTGCAGGGAAAGGCTTCGATCCGGCTAGAGGTCTGCAAAGCGCTTGTCAAGGTTGCCAGTCTTTGCTGTATCCCGGGCTAGTTTGCCAAGAGTTGACAAAGGGCTCGGAGTAATGCTTCGCTGTAGTATAACGTGCCCTGAAGCCCCGGTCGAACCCTTCGGTTAGTCAAGCCCTTCTGGCAAGCAGAAGTACTAATGGTAGTGTTATTCCTTGCTGTAGGGCTTCCAGATTGGACTTTCTTTGCGATAACATACCACCCAAAAGCCTCTTCCTTACCTTTGGTTAGTAGGGAATGGAAGAATGGCAGTAATAGTAGTCATAATTGTACCCCATTCCTCCATGCCCTACTAACCAAAGGTAAGATTCTCATAATCTTGAGCCCCAAACCCTAAACCCCTAAACCCTAAACCCCTAAACCCTAAAACCTAAATTCCCCTAAGGCCCGTGGCCTCAAAGCTGTGGGACTGGGCATCGTACTGCTGCGGCAAGCTCGGCGGCCTCGGGCTCAAGAGGGCTCCCCTGTAAGGGAACCCTTGAAGTTCCTCAAAATCATCATAGTGTAGCCTCATGGATCCCTTGAAGGAGCCTTTTGGGGGGCTTCAGGCCTTAAGATTTTGGGATGGCTTACGGCCTAGGGCCTGGTGCCTGGGTTCAATGTTTTCCCACCCAGGGCTTGTGGAAAACGAAGCAAAGCGTGCTTTGCTGCAGTTTCGGGTTAAAGTTCAACTGGCCGTCGTGGTCATACCACTAGTTCGGTGGTAGTTAGACTTTTGAAGAGAGACCAGAGAAGTGTAGGTTGGGATGAAGAGGTAGAGGAGGTTTAGGATTTGAAGGCCTCAGGGTGTGGCTTTTGACTTCGACGCACTTAGGTTGAGTCAGGCCTGCGCAACCGGTCATAGCGTCCTTTGCTGCAGCTTGAGAATGACCTACCCCTTCAACGCCGAAGCTTTCAGAATGCTACACCAAGTCTTGACAGGAATGAGCATGTTTGTGAGGAGCAGAAATGACAGAAAGTTTTGGGGGCTTTGGCTGCAGCACTGATGGAACACCCCAAACCAATACGCAGAAAGCGTTCTTGCCAAGCCTTGCGAAAGCCACCTTTTACAGTCCCTGAACGAGCAACTCTGAACCCTTTACTGCAGACATCTCAAGCACAAAACCTTTCATCACAAGAGTGAAATCCAGCGGCAACGGTCCGGGCATCTCATCGCGCGGAGCTGCCATTGTGCAGGTCTGATGAATTTCGGTTTTATTCTGCTTGATAAATGCTGCTAAGTTCGGCATCGAGGTCCGCAACCTCCACCCGACAAAGTTTTTGTTCTAGTGAAGCTTGCCGGGAGTCCTTCATGTCACAGGAATGTGACCTGATTGAAGGTTTTGTGTAGAGCTCACTTGACCGTCCGCGTCCGGTGACCGAAACGAAGCGGCACGCACAGTTGGCCGAATTGTCGACGTAGCCATCCAAGCCTTTCCAAACCCAAAAGCCATGTTACCTTAAGTTCTGCAACTCCATGGCCAAGGCTTGGATCCTGGATCATGGCTTGCCACCCCTTGCCAAAAGCCCAAGTCTACGGCCATGAAGAAAGCATCCAAACGAAACCCTTTCGCCCACAAACTCTAAGCAAAACGTGATTTTCCCCGCGATGTTGCGAAGGATTCCCCAGCAAGGGTGCGCGTTTTCGAAAAAATGCCGCTAAGGTTCATCTTCTCAGTATGTCTTAGTCCGCGGGGGTCCAACCAAGGCTTACTGAGACTTTTCTTTTCGAGCGCCCTCACCGATTGGGTAAACCTTGCAGATGGGTCCCCGAATCTGTGATTGAGTCATCCCTCTTCTGAGGATACACACAGGCACGCTACTCGCGGCACAGAGCAAAGCGATGAACCGTTCCATGAAAGTCAAATCTGAGGGGTCTCGGTCCAGAGAGAAGAGCACTCCAACGTCGGCAAGAAAAGTGTTCGGGGTTCAGAATAACCTTATACTTATTGTCCCAAATCTCGAACCTGTTGAGAAGCCTTGCCAGCCAAATCCACTGTTTTGCTTTAGCCGGCCAACACATGTAAATCCTCGAAGGCGCGTCCAAACCCGTACTGCTGTGGCACTGTGAACAACGACCAGATACCACTGTGCTGCGAAGTGCGAGCAAGATGGTGTGGCATACTTCTGCCCCACTCGACCCACGAAATGCGAAAGATATGTGTTGCAGAGTTTAAGGTACATGGAGTCCAAAGTGTGGGGCTTTAGATGTAAGGTGGAGGGTTCAGGAGGGTCGGGATTCCGAGCTGTGTCACAGCATTGGATGGTCAGCGAGAGGCTCCAAATTAGAGGAACACATAGTTCAAGACATGACCATCGATTGAAAATTGGCTGTCCATACTGAAACATTCCGATCCGTCGAGATACCGGGAAAGTTTCTGGGAAGGGTTCTGGGCTTGGAAAGTTAAGGGCTTGGGGCAGTCTCTGCTGTCTATTCCTGCTGCTGCTGCTACTACTACTGCTACTACTACTACTACTACTACTACTACTACTACTACTGCTACCACTACTACCACCGCCACTAATGACTAGTGGGGCTGAGGGTTTTGGGTTTGAGTCAAGTCAACTGAGGTGCGAAGTATGCCGAAAGGACATCCCGCCCAAATGCAGGTGCTGAGGCACCAAGGAGCAAGGCCAAAACGCTTGACTTCGGCTTGAACTGCTGATTCGGGCACTCCCTCAGCTACTCAAGGAAGCTTCGAGAAAACCCCGGATGAAGCTGCCCAGTGGCATTACCTGTATGCTGTGCAGCATGATGCGTTTTGCACTCATCGTGCGGTCACACCGACTCGCAGGGCCTTGCCCTACGGCAACCCAGTACTTACGACACCTTCAACCGTAAAGCTGTCAAAATCGAAAGTGTCTGTTCTCGATTTGCCAAGGCATTCCGACACCTGCAAACTGAAAATAGCTTCACACATGCAGTGCCCTGTAACCAAATGTCGTCGCGAGACAAGGCGATATTCTGGCTAGTCCTGACGATCTCCAGACAACAAGCAGGTTTTCGATGGTGCGGGCCGGCGGGTGCAGTTCACAGGTTCCAACGTCTTGCTTGGACTCGGGGCTCTTGGTCTTGGGCTTGCCAGAGATTCTTGAGATTGAAGTGTCCAGGGCCAGGGCTTGAGGTTTCAACCGCGCGTTTTGCTGGCGACATGCCTGGTGCTCAACAGAAGTACATCAGATTGCGAGACTCAATCTGTCCTCAATGGTCTCTATATGGTAGCAAACAGCAGCTTTTGGCGCATGACTTGCAAACAAGCTGGCGAAATTCTCCAAACGCCCTGAACTCACTGTCCTTGACCGCGACAGCTTTACACGAGGGCCTTCAAGAGCATCTCTACTTCAACAAAACCGATAACATACGACATTAACGGAATCTAACTGAGTGGCGCAAGTCTCCTAAAACCAATTTGGGATCCTGCTAATATCGTGTCTGGGGCATCTGCAAATGCAAGGGTCTCTCATGCAGACCTAGGCGTCGAGGAAGTGCTCGTCATGAGGACCGCTAAAGCCCGCTTAAACCGCAGATCCACGCCATTCCCTGCATATGCGCAACCATGAAAAAGCACAAGACTGGCAATGGTATTCGTAATCAGGGTAGCAGGGCAGGAACCCTTGTCCAATCTATTTGTCTGACCAACTAAAATAGCCCCAATTTGTGTCCCTTACAAGCCTACTTGAAGCCCCAAGATCATAACCTTGCATCCTCAGACCGATAATCCTCAAAGGACCCACTCTAGAACCTAGTGATGTACTCAAAAGACAAACCTTCCGAAGCTGCTGTCCACACACGAAAAGCCCCTCACGCCGATCACTTCTTGGCCCTGCAGGAGCAGTCTAAGGGTTCTCTTACGGGTTCTATAAGCTTGACTTTCAACCCCAAAGTCAGGACATTTAGGACCTACGATCTCGGGGCTTCGCAAGCTACGTGGGTAAGTAGTGTTGCTGCTTGTCTGATTTATCAACCCGAGTTGTATACCCAAGCTATAGCTTCAGCCGCCTTGAACGCTCTTGTGTTCCCGAGAACGGGCAGCCAAGCTATCGACCGTCACAACAGGATGTGGGTTAAATCTTCAACACATGCAGCTCTCATTTTGATGTGGCCTAGGTTGCTCTTCAGCAAAAACAAACAGACGGCGTTCTACAGTCATCATACAACTCACTTCAAGCACTGTTTGTTTGGCAACAGGACTTGCTGTGGCACGCTTGTTCCAGAAAACGGCTCGCTTTTTCCATCCAGAAAAGTTGAAAGGGCTGCCAAGTTTTACCAGAGCTGGGACACAGGTTTTGGGCTCAGGGCGGAGGGCTAAGGGTTGAAGGCTCCAGGATTGCTGCTAATGGTTCAGCAGGGATTCAGGGGTTGCGAAGTTCGAGTTGGACCAGGGGCCTGAGAATGTAGTCACCGAGTGTCAGACGATATTCCGAGATCCCAGTCAACCCTGCCTGAATGTCACTTGAAATCTTGACTTCATATGTGAAATATGGGGACACTCAATAGACAAGAGCTTTCAAGTCGTCCCCCTGAGCCTTTTCTTCGGCTGGGGCTCCTCGGGGACAGCGGCGGCTTGTTGCAGAAGTGCCTCTGCCGAAAGTAGAAGGGGCTGGCCGATGCACTCACGACGTATGACTCTCGGAACTGAAACAATCGACTTCGAAAAAGATCGAATCCAAAACCCAACACCCTGACGCCAAAGGGCTCACAGATTTCAGGGCACCTTGCCTGCTTCAGAGCTGGGATTTTGAACGAGGAACACTGAACCCGTGGCGACAGGCTCGGGGGCATGACGAGGGTTGCCTAAAAGCAGGGGCGAGGTGCAGGGCTTTCGAACTGACGTTGGGGTTGCAGAACTTTCACGTCAACCTTTTGGGGCTTGAAGATTCTGGGCCTTGGGCTTCCCACCCTAAGCCCCAACTCCCAATCGCCTGCATCAGCTTCGGATACTTCATGATCTGCGGGCCTCGAACGGAAAGAGCGACAACAGGGATTGTCGTCGCTGCAGCTATTGGGATGCCATCAGGCGAAATCTTTTGCCAGCCTCAAGGCCCAAATGCAGATTTCTAGCGCACCTCGCAACGCGCATCCGAAACGCCCCTCAGCCGTAAAGCCCGAACCAGAAACCCAGCCTCAAGCTTATCATGGTTCGGGCAGCCATACCAGGTAAATTTGTAGGGGTCAGGATTTGGAGCTCAAGCTTTGTTTTTGAACTAAGCACCAATAATTCACGGCGTGCGGAATGTTTCAGCAGACAGCGCGACGCAAAGCGAGAGCTTGCATCTCCAGGAACTAATCGATGCCAAGGATCAGGGTCTACGTTATGGTTCATGGATCTCAGTTTCGCTGCCTAGGACTTCAATTTTAGGCCATGGCTGTAGCTCGAATTCCGAAGCCCTAAGCTCTCAAGGGAACCTGGAACGGAAGCTCCGAGCTCAACCACCGTATCATCGACGAATGCCAAACCCAGCCTAAGCTCCAACTAGGCAACAAAGAACACAGTCGTGAAGATGGTGACAGCGCATATGGGAGTTTCCGAAAAAAGGGGACCCTAGTATAGCACCCTAAATTGTAGGATCCTTATCATAAGGACCCCAAAATAAGGCACCCCCCCAATTTTCGGAAGCTCCCATATGCCTTGAGCTGAAGAGATCCGAGCTCCTGACTGTTGGCGACTTCTGCCAGAGCCTTCTTGTTCCTGGCCAGGCAGGGTAAGTTTTCAAGATCAGCTCTGGTTCAAGAGAGGGTGAGCTTCTTCAAGAAGATTCCCCACGTTGTACGAACAAACCTGAATCTTAATCCTTACCTTCCTGTCTCTTGTGTCACCTCTCAGTTCAATCTCAGACGCATCAAAGATGCGGACCGTAAGACCCTGAAGCGTAAGTTATGGTATGGTACTGGTTGCGCATTGCTTATCCGGGTACTTGGAAGTAGGGTGCCGGGAGTCCGATTCCTACACCTCGAAATCCTGAACCCGAAGTCCTGGGCCCTAGACTCGGAGTCCTGTGCGCTAGTGCACTGTCAGCTCTCGCCACTCCACGATGCTAAAGCGATCGATCCAGAAGGGGGTGGCTCCAAACCAAGGCTTGACTAAGGTGCCCACAAGCGTACACATCAACACCATCACAGAAGTCGTTCATTGACCCACAGATCACGGACCCTCCTGAAAGGATATCGCCAAACACTGGAGGAGGTCTGCCCTAACCTTGAACCTATGATCCTACATCCGCAACCCTCAAAGCTGAACCACAAAGCCCCCAAATCAAGTTTGTCAGAGTTCCAGGCAGGGCTGAAGAATGCTTCTGGTGACATCATCCGGTTAAGCGACGAAGGGCCCCCAGGCGTTCGGGTTTGCGGCTCTGCACTTGCGTTTCAGGATGGCTTGAGGTTTGAGGCTGCTAGCCTATCTCCAAAAAGACCACGCCTTTCGGCATTTATTATATTCAGGAATTCATCCTGGACCCAAGGCAGAAGCATGCAGAAGCCTAAAACAGACTTCACAACTCGAGCCCCCGAAAGCGCCCTCATGCTCACCGTTGTGGACCGACACCCGAAACCCACTGGAGCAGCGAAGCCAGAAGACTCTGAAACACTACAGCCCCTCTGGGTTTGGGACGTAAAGCCCCAAACCGAAACCACAACCTAAGAGACGCCCCAGCCCTGCACAACTCCAGCCAGAGAGGCTGAGTGAGCCTGGGCTGAGACTGCGTAGGGTTTTTTGCTGTCAATAGTTGCTTAAGGGTTGAAGCCAGGTCAAGGCTCCATTGATTTCCAGATATTACAATCAAAGTGAATCTCGATGCTATTGTTATCGAGTACCGTTTTTTCTGGTGGATTATTTGATCTTGGTACTGTTGTGGCTAGTTCCACCCGTCGACCTTCTTCGACTTCCAGCTGCGATGCTCATTGTGCTGATATCTTCTTACATTTCCAACAAGACCGGGAAGACGTTCAGGAAAACGATCTAATCTGTTCAGAAGGGCGTAGAGTTGGCGGTAATACCACGAGCAGCTTAGCGTCCAGTGCATTCCGACGTCCTCGATGCTTGTCAGTTGGCATGTGTGCATGGGTCACAACGCAAGCACTTTCAGAAACGACCATTCGTTGCGTTTGGCTGCGAGCTGCCGGGCCCTCCCTCAAGGATAAGGATGTACCAGCATTCGCTTTGCGAGTGTCGGGTTTCGGCAACCATAATTTGTATAAGTCATATGTATATATGTATATATATATATATATATATATATATATGTGTACTTCTACATATTACATAGTCTGAAGTTTCAGTTCCGAGAGCCAAAGAAGAGCTAGCAAGGACCCAGAGACCTCCTCGCACACCGCAGGGCCGAGCCCTGCAGGTTCAGGATGCCTACTAACGGCTAATCACCTAAGCCCCCGGGCCCGGGCCCCCCTAGTTTTCACACTCTACCAAAAGCAAACCTACATGAGAGACGGTTGATGATACAAATCCTGCATTTCCTTAAGGACCCTAAACTATGGGAATTATGGTATATTCCTTATTACAGTATGGGTCATGCAGGATTTATACCATCAACCGAAGCAGACAGGCAGCTGCTCAAGGATCCTCTCCCCCAGCTGGCTGAGGCCGAAATCCTCGCAGATCGTCAGAACCTGGCGATAAGACGGCTATCCTGATTATAGAGGTCCAAATGGATTTCAACATCTTGGCTTGATTTGGGCTTAGGGTTTAGAGTACGGATGAAGGAGCCTCGGGTCGGCGGTTCCGAGGTGCGGAATTCAACTTCTGTTGCTTTGCGGAAGTGTGCAGGAAAGAACTCGCACCGCGATCCACCCAACAGCCTCAAGGCGAAGGCCCTCCGAGCACGGAAGCCTTGAATACCCAAACTCTGAGCCCTGATGCCGTTGGTTTGGACATTTTCCATGCTTGAATGACGGCTGGAAGTGGTCCAAGTTGGGACAACGTAAGGGCCTGAATAATTAGCATTAACTATTCTGTGTGGTTCCTCAATATAGTGCTACTGCACCAATTAAGATTCGTCAGGGCCATGTGGAAGTCTTGGAAATTTATGGACGGTCAGACTCGAAGCAGTTGTGTTCTGGAAAGAACTTCTTAATAAGTCAGAGATTGGTAGTGACGTAGTGTAGGGACACCTACCTAAGTCGGATCTTCGTCGTTAGGAACCCTAATTAAACAAAAACGCCATGCAGGGGAGGGCTCATTTTTCAGCTTGTAAATGATCCGCTCCCTTGGCACCCCGTGACCTAAGCCCTATGCTAAACCAGCCCAACTGCCTTTCCGGTGAAAAACTAGAGAATTGAAGCCCGACGCCTTTGGATTTTACAGGGTTGGGTCGTGGGTTATGAAAGCCTGGAGAATCAGACCGGCGTCTTGAGGTTTGTTGCTCTACATAAACTGTTTAAGCTAGGGAAGCCTAAGCAAAACTGGTACCAATACGTGCAGATTATTCAAGCCCCTGCAAACCCTCAAATCGTGAGCTCTGAGACTCTGGGTCCAGAATCTCTCAGTTTACCTCAGTTTTTGTTTGGAGGGCTGATGACTTCTTTGTTCTTCCATTCCTGTTCTGTGCAGCTTCAAGCTCCAGAGGACGAGCCTTCAGCCCCTCAAGCTTAACCTCCAGCACTAGATAGCCAACCAAAGCAACATCCTCCAAACTCAACCTGCCGAAGGCTGTGAAGACGAGACAGCGCTTTGCCTCAACGACGTTTCCCGTGGTGAGGTCCTTGGCCAGCCAGTGCATGGCGCGCTCGGTGAGACCAGGCCTCAGCTCAGAGCCGGGATGTCTTTTCAGGTTGACTCTGGGGACTGGGTTTAGGTTTGGGCTACAGTAGGGGATTTCTTCGTCGGAGAATTCAGGGAGGTGCTTCCGCAGGAAGTGTGGGATCAGGATCCTTCACAGACCTGCTGGATGGCTGAGGTCTGGCCGTAGGCTCGCGGATGTTCTGAGAAAAAAGCTTGCGAAATGTGCTGCTCCTCCTACTCCTTCTCCTCCTCCTACAACAACGGCTACAGCGCCACCCCTCTTCCTCCTCCTGCTTCTCCTCCCCGAAGCCCTTCGACCCATCGAGTCCGGAGGCAACTGAGAGCCCGGTCAGGCGGAAGGTTTGTGCCAAGCGGAGGACATCCTTGTTGATCTCCTGCCATGTTTTGGCAAAAGTGGTATCTTTCGGGCCCTTGCGTTCTCTAGTGGCCTCAGGGATCCATGGCCTCTATAAGCCACGAAGTTCAAAATCAAAGCAACGCCAAATCCCAAGCCCAGAACTCCGAAGCCAAACCAAAGCAGATGTGCCAACCCGGGCCCGCAGCCTGGGTTCGGGGATTGTAGTCCTCCCACCTGGGCTGTGTGCCAGTCTGTAGATTTCAAGCTTATTCATTTATCATACACAACGTTTTGTCGAGGGTGTCAGCCTCGGATTTACTATTTGGTATTTGGGTGCAGTTAAAGCCAATTTATTAACATGTAAGCCAAGTCAAAATTACAGCTACGTCTATCTGCTTCACCATGTGCATCACAGTCATTGTCCATGTTGCACAGGTTTTGCATCTTGATGTGCATCGAAAAGACGCTCGAGCAGTAATCTCTTGGCTTCTACAACATGCCCACCTTGCCTCCTAGCACTCGCTGCCAATCCCCCCGCGTCGTCTGTTGTAACCCGACGCGGCGAATCCTTCAGGCCAAGCCGTCGGCACAGAGGCATCCGTCTGGTACATGTAGTCCAGCATGAACTTCACGGCCTCAATATCAACGCGCAGCCCCGCAGGCGTGTTAAATCCTGCAGACCCTCACAATGTTCAACGTCTATCGACAAAACACAGAACATTTGTAGAGCCACACCACGCAGCAATGGGGCCCGAACGCAAAAATACCGCTTAAACCAAACGCTGAATTCCCTATGCCCGAAGCCCCAAACTCGAAAAGGAACTCGAGGCCTCGAACCTCTCAAATCATCTCCACTCCCTTAAGACAGTGCCCAAGAACCTGCGGAATCGTGGTGGCGCTACACCCAAAAAATCCTAAACCACCGGGTGCCTCCGGGTTGGAGATCTCGGCCAGCCTGATTTCCTGCCTCGCACCGTAGGTTTAATGCTTGGATGGGGGCAAAGCTTGCTGGCGGCGTGCCCACTCATTTCAAGAGCTTCGAGTGTACGCGCGCAAGGCCAGTCGTGCGTTCCAGTAAATCAGGGCTCCTAATCGGGCACCTTCCGTCGATCAACTCCTTGGAGACGCTTGCCAGACCGCTCTTGAAGACCTCTTTGCTCGTTTCGGGTTGGGTTGGGTTGCCGGAGTTTGGTTTCGGGAGAGGGCCCGGGTGAGAGGGTGCTGTTTCACGTTCAGTTCTATCCGGGCTGGGTTGGGGTTCCGACGGCAAACCCAACTCCAAAACCAGCAGCAACTAGTGTATGCGGGCTGGTATCAAGGCTTGGTCCTGGGTTTAAGTTGGTATGTGCATCGAAAATCAAACGAGAGTGATTCTGCAGTGACAAAGCATATTTGCCAATGCTGATGTTTTGCAGAGTAGTGTATTGGCGTATCCTACAATTGTTCTTTAGGAACTATAAGATGATATTTTCAGGCATGTCCTTGGCCATGGCAGTTGCAAATTGACTGTCGGAAGCTCATGTTGCTTCGGGGTTCAGGGGTTCAGGTGATAAAGAAGTCTGAATAATCAGCTATCGTCCCTATAGAACTTGACGATGCAGTAATGTACACCCCGCCAAAACCGCTTCTGATTGAAAAGGTCCCTGTTGACCTGTTGCCCAAAAGCCAAAACACAGGGCTCGTGCGAGGCGCTTTGGTGTTAAAGCTTTGGGCTCCCAACCGCCTAATTCGCCCCAAACTCCGAAGCACCAAAATCAAACCGTGAACCCAAAAACGCATATGTCCTCTGGAATGACCCCAAACTCTGAATTTGAAACACAGGGTTTTGTCCCTCAGCCGTATGACCCCGAACCGGAGATGCGCCTCGCTTTCTGCCGCCAGGACAATGCGATGGGCGTAGAAGGTGCGGTCTGCGCAGACCTGGCAAAGCTGGAAATTCGAAGTTCAGGTGCACTCACTGAATACTTACGACAAGGTTTGGGAATCTTTATTTGACTTGTTATAGAGCTCAGTGCACGGGGCATAGGTTCAGAGCGAGTAGCAAGTTGCCGGTTGAAGACAACTCCCGGTGTTCTCAGCTATTCTGCATCTGGACGCATGCCTGGCATTCCGTGTGCTCCTGTGTCTGTCGCCGAGATCACGATTCATCTCGACCTCCTGCTAGTTTGAAATTCTTTAATCCCTAGGCGATTCCAGCTCAGTCTAAATGCTCCCCAAAACGCAACACCACAGGAACGTCGCTTGTGTCGGTTGAGAGCGTGCGGGGTTGGATTTTGAACTCTCAAACGGCTCTATCTTCAGTTAGCAGCATCTATGCCAGCGCGTGTTTCAAACACAGCAAAAGCCCAAGGAATTAGAAACAACTCGCATGTGAAATGCGATGTCTGTCTTAGACTAAGTAGATGTTGATATGCTTCCGCAATGTCATGTGCCGATGGCACGTCTTGTGCGTGCCCTTGCCTACGCGTCCTGTGGGCCTTTATCACCTGGTTGCTGGGTTCCGTGGCCCCAACAAGGTTAAGCGAAGTAACATGTTACCAGCCTCAACCACGAAAGCTTTTTTCTCTCTCCTGCTGTCTGCAGAGGTACCGGGCTGTGAACCCGTCACCGTTGCCCTTGGGTCGGAATTTGGTTTGTGGTCTACGCGACTCAAGCTTAAAGGGTTGCAAGCTTATGGGTCGGAGAGGAATGGCCCTCTAGAGCCTGTCAACACGGAGGGCTAGTGCGTTGAACTTCGCTTCTCCGATCGTAAAGCATACTGCACACAGGGTTCCCCTAACCCCGAAGCCCTAGAACCAATACTCATGCACCTCTTTCGGGTAGCCCCTGGAAACGATATGAAGCTCGCTGCTTTGGATGCACTTGCCGCTTTGCATGCGACACCCGCAGGAAAACGCGTGTTAAAAACTCTCCACGCTTGGAGAGCTAGAGTTGCGGAGCACTGTGGAGCAACGAAAGCTCCAGCGCGGCATCATGCAACTCTTGACAGACAGCAGTAGCTCGACCCGAAATGAAAGAAACAAGAGTCTGGGCTTGAGGGCGGCGTCTGGACTGTAAGGGGATACCCATCACCAGCTCATCAGACTTCTACTTCAGTTCTTGAAGCCTCTAAAGGCCCAGTATGCTCTTCAAATCCGCGCCGGCGACCGGTACCAGCCTCTCGGCAAGCACGCGATCGCCGCGACGCCTCCGCTCGTCGGTGCTGGGATCCTTGCCGTGCGAAGTTAGCGCCCCGCTTTTTGCTGCCCTCATGCTAGACTTCTTTTGACTCCCACTGCGAAGGGTCCATATTACGGTCACTAAGTTTCTGAACTCCCATAGACACGTCAGTAGATGTCCAACTGCTGACTGGCGATTCAAGTTTCCCAGGGCGAGGGTGCGTTGACGACTGAGACTGGTCCGAACCACGCAAGTGCTGCACAAAGGACCCCTGTTCTGTTGGTCTCGTCAAGGAATGCCACACTACTGTACGGCGGTGGGTATAGGTTCCTCTGCAAGCAAATATTCCACATCGTACAGTCGACTCGTCTTGAGGATGCATACGATGAGCCTGACGTTTTTCTCATTTCTCGGCCCCAACAAACAATTAGGGATCAGTTTCTCAGGGACATCGCAAGCCGGACCCCAATCTGAGAACGGAGCAAGCCGCTTCGAACACTCAATTCCATAGAACGCCCAAATAAAGCAAATCCCGAAAACACGCGTCGCTGCACTTTACTCCCTTCTAGCCACAATCAATGACCACAACAACGCAACACGACAACGATGCATGCTGCTGGAAACCTGTGTCCTCATCCATCGCCATCCTTGCCACGGCGGCACGGTGCAAGTCTGTCCAGGCGCTTAAGTCCTCCGGCCACATCGCTCTTGCCAAGGGGCTTGGTGTTGGTTGGGGGTTTGGAACTTCCGTGTCTAATGTCATCAGTAGGCAACTCTTTGATGCGTACATATGGGAGTTTCCGAACATAGGGGACCCTAACATAGTACCCTAAGTAGTTGGATCCTTACTATAAGGACCCCAAAATACGGTACCCCTAATTTTCGGAAACTCCCATATGTGCATACGTACACATGCACGCACATAAAGGCCAAAGCTTTTTCACCCCGCACCGGTCTTAAGGGCAGAAGTCCGAGGGTTGCTGCCAGTCCCTTGCTGGCAGGGATATCCCGGACCCAACTCTGGTTCGGGGCTTTGGGCTTTAGACTTGTAGGCTTGGGATGCAGAGCTTTCTATGGTTTTGGAGTTTAGGGTTTGGCCTCGACTTTCCGCATGTCAAGTCTTCAAGACATGACTGTGGCCTTCTCACTTGTAAGAGGTCAGTGGCCAGGGGCAGCTCTCAAGTCTCGCGCGGCGTTTTGGTGTTTGGGGGGGCTACGGCTATGGTTCTGTGGGCGTGGCCAAAAGTTTCCCGAAAACCCAACCCAAAACTTTCACACAACAGCACAGACTTGAGAGGCAGCTGCTGTACACATTCACTATGCAATAAGCCAGGATGGACGTACTTCCGGTTCAATGTCCTCAGCCCCAAACACCATGGGCTCGAAGCCAAAGGAGAGGTACCTGAACTTTCGAACCCCGACTGTCGGCAGGATGCCTGGCTTTGGGGTACCCGTAGGATGGGAGCTTTATTCGAGCTCTCAGCTCGGGGCACACAAACTTCAATGAAACAATCTGGGCAAGCCCAACACCTTGAGGCACCAAACCGTCAAACCTGCCACGGTCGAGCTCAGGTACAGAGGGATTGCTTGCGGCCGGCCGCTGCCTCAGCCGGCTTCGGCTTAAGGGTTTGGGGTGTTTAGGGCTTGCGGCCTGCAACTTCGTTCATTCGTCACTTGTCGCAGTAGCTTGAGCCCCAAAGCTTCCGCCAGCGCAACACTCAACAAAAAAAAAACCCGACGTAACGATGATAACGGCCGTTACCAGCTGTTGACACTCCAGGATGATCGGCTTTGGGACGTCTGGCCAAGGAGCCGGTTCCGAGGGTAGCTGTAGTGCACTTCCTCGGTTGATTGGCGAGCTTCCGGACTTGCAAGCAAAATCTACTCCTCAAAATTGATCCAAACGGACACGTGGTTAGCTGATCATTTGCGCCTATGAGGGCCTTCATACATTAATAGGGCCAGCCCGCCACACAAATCTCTGCAGATTTTGCCTGAAGCTTCGGGATGTAGCATTCGACATCAATGGTTGAAGCTGTTCCTTGGCCTCGGCATCAACCTCAATAGTCGCAGCCCCATGACATTACGTTCAAGGCTCTAATCCCGACGAGCCGTACATCCACAAACCCAAGGAAGTCAAAGTGGCCACATGCCAGAATATAGTGCTGGGATATAACATACTATACTAGATTTCTCATGAGGTATCCGAAGGTATTTCGCCCCCCTACCTAGGGGCCTGGAGGTACTATATGAGTGAAAGTCCCAGCTGCAGGCCAGCAGGGCCCAGGCTTTGGAGCACCGCCGCCAGCAGTGACTTGGAGAGGCCTCGTCCTCTGCGGAAGCAGTAGGTTTGGCGGGTTTAGGGGGTTTAGGGTACAGGGCTTAGGGGGTTTAGGGTTCAGGCTTTGAAGTCTTAGGGATTGGAGTTGCATGTTGCGGCGCTTCGGGCTTAGGTCTTCGAGCTTCAAATTCTTGAAACTCGACCTGGGCCTCTACAGATTTCCTGGGCTTGTGGACGGCTTTGTTTCGTGTTTAAAGACCATTCTAAATCCTAAACCCTGAACCCTAGACAGTTCGCCTGTTGTCCGACAGGATATGAACTGACCTATGCCTAGCATCAGCATCACCGCTATCTCTGGTATGAACCACGTTAAGACTCAGTTGTGCAGGCTGCCTAGGGGTGCAGCCCTGGCCGGGTTCTGTCTAATGTACATTGAAATGATTTCGCAAAGTGTCTTAAAGCATCACTAAACAAGCAAACTTTGGAAAATCCCTACATGTATGGCTATTGACGACAACCCTACGCCGAACACACTTCGAGCTCCATCAAGCCTTAAAGCCAATCTCCTGAAAAGCAGCTGTCTTCGGCAAAGTCGTGACCGAACCGTCCGCAGCAAAACCAAAGCGCCGAGATCCTAAAACCCGGAAGCCCCAAGGCCCCAAACCCACGGCCCTTTGAAGTCCTTGAACCAAGGCTGACAAAAAAAGCCCTTATAGAAAACGCTATAAACTCCCCGAAAGCTCCTTGAAACTCTGGGTCGATTGCGACCCAATGGACCAGCCCATCTCGGCCGAGATCTACGCGTCGGACTGTCGAGTCCTCCGGAGGCTCAGGGCTGGAGAAGGCTTCTTATACAGGTACTACAAAGGTTTGGTCTTTATAGGGTTTTGGGATTCTTTGAGCTCTACTTCTTATAAGGGCCCCACAAAGGTTTGGTCTTTATAGGGTTTTGGGATTCTTTGAGCTCTACTTCTTATAAGGGCCCCACAAAGGTTTGGTCTTTATAGGGTTTTGGGATTCTTTGAGCTCTACTTCTTATAAGGGCCCCACAAAGGTTTGGTCTTTATAGGGTTTTGGGATTCTTTGAGCTCTACTTCTTATAAGGGCCCCACAAAGGTTTGGTCTTTATGGGGTTTTAGGATTCTTTGAGCTTTGCAAGAGTACGGGAAAGGTGACACGAGGGTTTTATCAGGATTCCTTCGGATTCAGGGAACACCTGCATTGTTGCTCTTTGTCCCGGAGTCCAGAACACAGTTTGGGTTTTAGCATGCTGTCATGTCGATGTCAATGTGCGTGTAGGCACATACTCAGCTCGGCAGTGCTGGAGCCGCTCTTCGCGTTCATTGTGTGAATGCATTTACCAACCAACTGCGCTCTTAGACTCTTCGCTGCTGCAACGCCAATTTCACCCTGCCTGAACTCCGAGAAGCGTGGCTGCAATTCCAGACCCCTTAACACAGAGCTTAAATCAGAGCACCCTTAATCAAGGCACCGAAACCAGACACCTTTTCGAGCCAACATCCACTTCCAAATGAGCGATCTTCCTGCGAGTATACTCTCCACTTCGAAACTCAATGGCGCCCT